CCCCAAAACCCCAAAACCCCAAAACCCCAAAACCCCTGCATACTGAAATAGACTATGAGGATAGATAAATAAAACTTGAGTAATATATTTATAGTTGGCCAGATAGATACAGCCTCTTGATGATTTTGCCTGAAATATTCGATTTGGATTTTTACCTCTTTATGTTCAATTGTTTTGCTTTCTAAAATTAACTCATTAGTAAAACAAGTATTGCTTACTTTTCTAGACGGATTGTCAGATTTTTAGGGCTATTGCAGATCTCATCGAACTTTTGAATAACTAGATTTAGTTATTTAACTAGTTCATTAGGCTTTGGAAATTCTCTGAATTTTACTGTCTTAATTAGGGCCTTTTAAAATTTCATTGCAAGATGGTGAGCAGCATCGATTTCCATCATAGAATCTCCAAGGGCAATTATGTTTGTTATCAAAGCCTCATCCAGATTGTTTTAGGTTTCAAGAAAGGCATTTAGTTTCCATTTGGTCACATCACCTGGGAAATGTGGCTCATATTTCGTTCTGGCAGAGATTATCGTGATCTTCTCTAAAATCGGTACTAAAGATGGCATGAATTTTTGGGCACTGAACTATACCCATCCCTCGGCAGCATTTGTGATGATAAAAGTCTTTCCATAATTGAGCGACAGATTTAACATCCTAAATTAAGCCATTATAAGGATTATTAATAGTTCTTACTTTGCGGATGTAGATTCAAGGAGTCTAATATGCTACCAAATGACAGATGATAGCTCGACATGTTCATAAACGCCAGATGGATTAATGAAACTAGTGCATAAAAGTGTGTCATCCCAGTCGAATATAATCGCACTTTCATGAAGCTTTGGTTTTTCAAGAGGGGTGAGCCAGATTTTTTAATACGTCAGCTTACTCAGAAAGTTTCTTCTAATGCTGTCTCCTGTTCTATTTTTCTGAATGAAATCGAGAGCAAATCCATCTGAATCAGGTATTTGGAAGGACTCAACAACTTGCTCTTTCTCCAAAGGTTAATCATCACCTGGTGTTAGAATTGCAGAACCCTACATCAAATCTTTCGGTGCACTTTTACTTTCACATGCCTCTTCTAGGGATTACTCGATATGATTCTCATTAACATACATTTCCTTTTGAGAACCTATTGGAGTAGTAATTTCAATTTTTTCATCTACTTTTTAAAGTTCAGACTGTTTTCTAGCATGAATCACTAGTGTTGAAGTTCTCGTGAACTTTTTAGTTGAATCGATTTGAGCAGCAGTACTATTGTTAGATTTACTATCATTTAAGTCATTTTATGAGCTATTCACCATAAATGATTACGCTATAGTTGCATCTTAATGCCCCTTATCTATATAGAGTAATGAAGGTTATTTTTTACTCATAAAGCCAAGTTTATTCATATAGTTTTTCCTTCCGTTGTTATTGAGTCCTAGGTCATAAGTTTAATCGCTAAATTTTCTGTCAATAATTGTACGAGAACTATTGATCTTGTGATTATCATTAGACTTGAAATTGAAGTCTCCAGCTATTCCGATGAAAGCTCCTTTATATGTAGTCTAATTGTTTTTCAAAGAATCATTCAATGGATCCTCAGTGTAACTCAGATTTGTATCACTATTTCTAGGTAAAATGGTTACAATTTTGCATATTTTTATTTACTTTTGTCTTGCAGGCTTTTGACCCATTAAATCAGGCTTTATTATAAAAAATTTATAAAATTAAGATGATAATACTATAGAATTAAAATGAATCTGAACGTTCAAATCCAATGTTTATTGGCGGGGTTTTGGGGTTTTGGGGTTTTGGGG